CCTGGCATTAATTTGTCATGCAGGAACTGTAACTCTTGTTTTCTTCACAATGCAAGGGAAGCAACACTGTATTAAAATGACAAGTATAATGATACAAGTACCAGAAAAAGCAGCAGAAAGCTGGCTTCAAATGATCCCACTTCCTGCAAAGCATCATGCGAGCAATTCATCCCCCCTTCCCCTCCATGCTTACAAACACCAAAAGATCTTTCTGACACCAGCAGGATATCAAGCATAGGGTACTTGACCCCTATTTTTTATAAATCAGCTGATACTCAATCAGCAATTGACCACAAATTACTGCTTTTCGTCCTTCTTAGGACGTTATTTTTTGTTATTTGAAGCCCCACTCTGGCTTTTGCCAGGGGCCGCAATATAGGCAGGTCATCATTATGGCCAAATGTCTGAACGCGGTTTCTGGGACCTCTCCACGGTGATCCTCATCCGCATGGTGGCACTTTGTGTCATCGGGTGTTTATCGCTTGTGTGATGTCCTGGTGGGGTAAAAAATCCAATCCAATATAACCAGGAGTAGAATCAAAGTATCCTATTGTGGGATGTAATTTTTTCGTTATTTGAAGCCCCAACTCTGGCTTTTGCCAGGGGGCACTGAATACAGCTGGGCCACAAATGTGGCCATAATGGCTGAAAAGGGTTTCTGTAATCTCTCCACGGGTGATCCTCATCCGCATGGTGGCACTTTGTGTCACCTGGTGTTTATCGCTTGTAACATGCCCTGGTGGTGTACAACAAGCAAATATAACTGGAGTCTGTTGGCAGCTACAGCTAGCCAGCTTTTTTTTTGGTTTGTAAAATGGAATCAGAATCAGAAAATGATTAGTGCTTAAAAAATACTGGATGTAAACAAAATAAGAATTTTATCATTGAAAAAAAAAAACATTCCTGCGTAAAAAATATGTTTACTAGATAATTTATCATCTTCTTTCATATCAAATGAGAGCCACCATTTTGCAGTGGCGAGACGGTCACCAGTGGATCGGAATGATATGGGCTCGGGTCCTGACGCAGCTGGACTTTTTTGGGGACTTTGGCTCTCAGGTCAACCCAGCCTTGAGAGGTCCTAGGAAGTAAAGTGCCGATTGGTCTATAAAATATAGGTCTAGCCTGAAGGCGAGGAAAAGGGTCCTATATACATCAAATCAGATTTACAAGTAAGCGCTGTATGGAAATTTCATGTAATGAAACTCACAGAACAAAATTGTGAACATATATGAAAGACCATACATATTATAGCTTGCTTCAATATCAGATGGAGCAAAAAACATGAATTAAAGCACACAATCCAAAACTGAAATATCAAAATCTAGACAACAGCTAAATAAATGTGATAGGTCAACAGAAATATACTGGTACAAATACAAGAATCACTGTAGTCTAAATTTTTTTAGATATAACGGTATACACTAAATTTGCAACTGGCACTATTTCCTAAAATCTTAAATGTGAGTTGGGCACCAGAGCTTATATAAATAATAACTAGCTAGAACTACTTTCTGCGACCACTGAAGTCTATCTAAAATGTGAAATCCGCAGTGCTGTATATCTAAATGACTAAGTGGAATTGCCTTTTGGATTTACTAAAATCTATGTAAAATTGTTGGGCACTAGTGTTATTCTAAATAATAAACTGGAATACATCTGTATAATTATCCTGAATACATCTAACTAATTAACTGGACTACATCTGTATAATTATCCTGAATACATCTAACTAATTAACTGGACTACATTTGTATAATTATCCTGAATACATCTAAATAATTAACTGGAATACATCTGTATAATTATCCTGAATACATCTAAATAATTAACTGGACTACATCTGTATAATTATCCTGAATACATCTGTATAATTATCCTGAATAGATCTGTATAATTATCCTGAATACATCTGTATAATTATCCTGAATACATCTAAATAATTAACTTGAATACATCTAAACAACTAACTGGAACACATATAAACAATTAATCGGAATAATCTAAATAACTAACTGGAATACATCTAAATAATTAACTGGAACACATCTAAATAATTAACTGGAACACATCTAAATAATTAACTGGAATACAGCTAAATAATTAACTCAAATACTTCTAAACAATTAACTGGAACTAGTTTCTGTAATCAGTGAAATGTTTATTCATAATAAGAAGTTAACGCTGCTGACCACCGACAACAAAAGCTGATATATTTAAAATAACGCAACGAGGGCATGGTAATGGAGGATAAGTTACAAACTGTTTGTGCACTCTGTGTCTGAGTTCATGAATATATTTTTATAAATACAAACATGCTTGTTGAAATCATTAAATACTTTAAATAAAAAATGAATCAGTCAAAATGATACCTTACATATCAAATCAGATTGATCTAAGAACAAAACACACATACACACACAAAAAACAGCTACGTAAATTGTAAACATTAGCATTCTCAAACGACCACAGAGATACTTTAAAAAAATATATCTACAGTGTGAAATTCAAAAATACATTTTTTTTAACAGTGGGAAAAACACAGACGTTCAATTATAATTTTTATTTATGAATTAAAAGAAATTATTATATGCAAATGAAGAAATGAAAAATGGATGCAATGATACTTAAGAAATGTAAAACTATATGAGAACAGAGGGGAAACAACTAAAACTGACTACAATGAACAATTTAAATATAACTGGATTCTGAAATATAACAGGCATTTCGAATACCCCCCCCCCCCCCTCCCCTCCCCCCAATTATTCACTCCAAATACAAATTCATAATAAGGCTAGGCCAGCAACAAAATGCCCGCAGAAGTTGGGTGTGAAGGTCAAAATGTGCAAATATCACAGCCATGCTATAAACAGGAACAATATAATTACGTCATCAGACAATTGCAGAAGAATTACAAATTCAGGACAAGTTCAAAAAAAAAAAAAGATTCAAACACATAAAATATTTAAAACACTATAAAGGGGAGGAAATGCTATTTAAGAAAATATCGCTAACATCCATATCAGGACAAGGGAGAAAAGGAAATAACTATAAATGATTAAAACAAAGAACAGTTTTTAACAGACATGACAGAATTTCAGAATTACGAACAACAGATAATTGAAAAAATAATTAATATAGGGATGGAGTGCCAGTGAAAAACAGTGCATTTCTGCTGTCACTGATAGTAGTTTGACCATAGATACAGCGATGCTGACAGTAATTGTACTATTATTGTTCCCTCTAATATGATCTGTTTCATTTAATGTTATTATTTAATTCGAATTCCAAATTTATTATAAATTTGAAGTAACCCTGGTAAGTCATGTGACTACGGTGAGCTTCCGGCGGCCAAATAAAACACATAATGTGTCGGAAGAAACTATTCACATTTCAGTTGGATTTATTCAGTTTTGTGCTTTATTGTATGTTGATTTAACACTGTAGTATAATGCACATGCGAAATATACCTGGCAATAAATTGTGCAATGTCATGTTTGTGTCCGCATTATTTAAATTCATTACGGGAAAACATGTTTTAAATATAATTCATTGTTTGGTTTTTTTTAATTACGCTGCTCTTACTTTTAATTATTAGCATAGTACAAACAAGCCCTCCCTTGGAAATTATGAAACAAACCCAATCAAATCCAGATTTTGTGGAAAGAATGGGAAGAACAATTGACCATAACAGTTAAAACCATGAGCTGAAGGAAGAGGTAGAGACAGCAATACAAGTGGGAGAATCAGATAAGCAGGAAATCAGATGAGAGGAAAGCAGATGCTTGGGAAATAGGATAAAAGAGAAATAAAAAAAAGATAGACATCTAGAAAGAAATCAAATTGGGGGAAATCAGAAAAGGCGGAAATTAGATGGGAAGGAAATCAGAAAAGGTGGAAATTAGGAAGGAAGGAAATCAGATAAGAAAGAAATAGACAAGAAGGAAATCAGATAAGACAGAAATAGGATGAAAAGGATATCAGATTAGACAGAAACTGGGTGAGAAGGAAATCAGATAAGACAGAAATTAGATAGGAAGGAAATCAGTTAAGACAGAAATTAGGTGAGAAGGAAATCAGATAAGACAGAAATTAGATGAGAAGGAAACCAGATAAGACAGAAATCAAATGAGAGGGAGAAATCAAACAAGAATGAAATCAGACATGGGGAAAATCGAACACAGACATCTAGGGAGCTGTTATTACCACAGTATCCTCATCAGTCATAATTCTGTTGTGTGGATATATGTCTGCATTACAGAAAGGTATATTCTTCCATTCTGGTCTATCCTGTGCAACTGGTTTAACATCATGGCTGGAATCCAGTCCAGCACCACTGGCCTCTCTCATCAACCTCTAGGGTTTTTTCTGGATGTCCTCACTTCTTCAGTCAATATTTTTCCCATTCCAGTGCCTGTTTAGTGATTCTCAGTTGGCTCAAAATGTGCCCTCTTAAGCACCATCACCTTTATCTGATAACTGTTGACACCAGTGTTTGCGATTACGTTTATTGTTCTGCTCTCTTAAATTCGTCGAGGAGCGGCTGGCCTAACAGTTGGAACGCTGGGCTCTCAAGAGGAAGACCTGGGTTTGAATCCCTGGTAAAGCTGGGAATATTTATTATGGGGGAACAAATAAAATCTTCACTTGCACAGTCGTGGCGACAGCGCTAGCCATTCGGCCGTAAATCCTCAGACTCAAAGACCCACTGCCTACATCGCACAAGTGGAAATAAAGGCAGTTATTGGCAGTTTGGCATCAATTTTCCTTAGATTTTCCTGTTTTGTTTTTTTTCTCTGAATGCTTTGAACTTTCATTTTACGTTTTCAGTGGTTCTTAAACTTTCAGTGACACATGGTAAAACTAAAATAACACCAGAACTGGAAATACGCAACCTGGTTTAAAAACTACATAATTTACAGTTCAATATTTTGTTCAAGCTTATATCAATACATCTCCTGTATCTATGGTCAAAGGGTAAGTGCTAACAATTGTCACACCAATTTACCTTCTTAGAACCCCCACCTGGGGTGTGCTTGGCATTTTCTAAGGAGCCAATCTTTGAGCCAGCTTGCCACTCTATTTTACGGGTTTCTATCTAAACTCATCAGATAAAAGAATAGATGGGAACAAATACCAGCTTGGGTAAGAATCAGTATACAGTTAAGACGCAAACAACTTTTCAAGGAAATAAACAAGATGTAAGCCACAATAAACTCTTCAAAGACAAGAGAGAAAAATTTGGGGACAATATTTCCAAATCTTTATGATGGAAAGACTAAATATGTGGCCAGGAACTTTTGGTATTGTTTTGTGATGGTTATGATTTGTGCATATTATGTTCATAGCATCTGAAAATAACAGGCCAGAAAACTTTTACAATTTATAAAAACTTAAAAGAGAGAAAAAAATCTGGCACCTAATGGGGAACACCCTGTCTTCTAAGCATTAGTTTGAGACACTGTAGTTTATGATGTGGACTGGTTTACCTGTGATATCTGGGTTATTTATCATTTAAAATATCCATTGCCCTTGTGGGTTTCGGGGTCCTGTGGGGGAGGGCGGGGGAATATATCCACTGCCCATGAAATAAGCATGTTGTACCAGGCAACTAATTAGCGATCCTTTCATTGGTCAGACATCAACATAGCTGCTATCAGGAACAGGCCTGTTAAGTGACTTCTGTGTTCTTGTGTGGTTTTGTTTGATTATGTCATGTGCTGTATTGTGAAGCTCGCTGGTTTACTCTTCATTCAGTTTTATTATCTTTTCAATCTAATTAGGGATGTTTCCTTCAAAGTTGGAATGCATCTGCCTGAGAGGCACGGAACCAACAGTCTGCTTAACAAATAAGCCAGATCTATAAAACAGACAGGGAACAAAGAATTCAAGTTCTGTAACAAGACCCAGATCCAGAAATGAGGACACACTTCCTCTGTAATAAGTATGTCATAATAGGCAACCAATTAGGAGTTTACTGAAATCGGATTTGCTGGGCCAAAATAGAGATATTTAAGACAAGCTGTAAACCACAACACACAATGCCAAACATTTTTTTTTTTTTATTTTTTTTTTTTTTTAAGAGCCAACATATAAGAAGATAAAGAAGAAGAAGAAAAAGAAGAAGAGGAAGAGAAAAATAGGAAACACTATCTGTCTCTGGGTCTTAGGTTTCAACAATGCAAAACATGAGCCAGGAGATGTTGAGGTAAGTTCTGATAAAATATTGTTAAAGAAGACTGGTACAGAAAATGTTAGGAAATGTATACCATGTACAGAGTAATAAATAAATGTGGTGACTTGCCTGCACCGAAAGAGTTAAAACACAAAGAAAAATCCTAATAAAGTAATCAAAAATATTAACCATTACCAAACAGAATAGACTGCATGTTACACAAATAAGCAGAGATAACTCTCATTAGAAAGGTTATAATCTCATTAGTATTAATTTCTTCCACACACAAAAAACAGTAATGAAAATTAACCCACATCTATGAAAAATATATGTTAAAACAATACAGCTGCACTAAAACTGTGTATGGTTACATATGTAAACGATCAAATACACTTCTATTTTAAAAAACAAGAATTTAAAAAAAAAAAGCATTATCAATATTTAGGGAAGCGGGTGTTAGAATAGAATACTCAGGAAACAAGTTATTTCGTCCCAGTTCACCGCATTTGAAGTATTGTTTTGTAAACGTTATAAGCTGTCTTCAGTATTTAATTAGAAATAAAACTACATATGTCATCATTAGAATCATCATTAAAACTATATTAATTTGTTACTATGTATATATCAATGTTACTGAACAGAAGCTACGACAAATATTTTTATTTTGAGTTTTAATCTCTCCTTTCTAGCTTTCTGTCGTGTTTTGAACAACTTCACACACCCTCCGCCACAGATCTTCAACATGGACCGTAAAGGCTGTGTCAAGTCTGTCTGCCTCATGCAAGAAACCATTTTCTTCTGTGCCAAATTTTGCTTTCAGTGTTCTGCTAAGCTGTGCCATACAGATAAATTAAAAGTTTTTTTTATCAGTGATATCCGATTCCCCTTTTACATTATAACTAGAAAAAAATTGATTTTTCTTTCGATCAATAATGGATATTTATATTTGCAAATTATTTTTGGTTATTTAATATTTTACAGATTATGCATTAATCTTCAATTCTAATGTTATTTCAATTCTACCATATGTTAGCGAAAGTTGCAGAACCACTAAAGATATGGAACGAAAGTTAAATGCATTTGAAACAAAACAATATATATATATATATATATATATATATATATATATATATATATATATATATATATATATATATATATATATATATATATATATATATACATACATACACACATACACACATACAGCGTTAGCCAAAAAAATGTATACACAGTCATCGCCCAGCAGTGAAATGTATCGACATGTACAATGTCTACGGTCTTTGAATACACTGTGATAGCAACATGTTGCATGCAGTTTTAAAATAACAACCTGTATAAATATTTTGATACTAAAATTTAAAATGTATTCAGACACAAAGAGATGCATACAAGTTACAAGTGGTGTAGAAGTTACTACAGTTGCTCAAAGTGATTCTCATTAGCCTTCAGAATTGTTCGTTAACTATCATACAAACGCAAAGCTACCGTAATTTGATCTAAATATGTCGGGATATGCCAAGTACTCATGACGCTCTAAATGAATGGCCTCTATGAAAATGTTTATACATTTCACTGCTGGGCAATAACTGTGTATATTTTTTGGGGGGACTAGCTCTGCGTATAATTTTTTTTGGCTAACTCTGTGTGTGTGCATACACACACGTATATATGTATATATTTATATATAAAATTAATTGTTCAGAAATGTTAAGATAAATGCGTTAAGATACTTGCGGCTGCACAGACGATAGAGAATGAGAAAGCAGAATATCTAAACTATTTGCTGTTTTACAGCGTCCAGTATACCCCAGGGGGGGTTAAAGAGAGTCCCGGTTACCTTCTTGTCCCCACCACCTGCCTTATGAGTGGCATTATCAAGGGAGCCTACTCTTGAATCGACTTTCCAGTCAAGCTTTTGTGTCTCAATCTACGAAAACAGACAGCAATAAATGATTCTGAAGATGCAGCTTGATTCACCGTATTTTATGTTTGTTTTGAGGTAAAACTGCTCATTTCATGCATTCTAACATGTTATACAGAGCTTGCTTTGCAGTTCAACAGCAAAAACATAAAAATATATGTTAGTATAAAAATGATCTGTATACAATACCTTCCCCTAAATACACAAAATACACCTAAAGAAAACCTACTCGCTGGTATAAGTTTTTGTTTAAATCCTACAAAATTAAAACAATTCAATTCTTAAAAAAAAAAAAATTCTTGGGAGTCAAAACTAAGAAAAACAAAAAATGCATAAAGGGGTCACTCAGTAGTAGTATCATCTAGTTTTCTGATTTAGGTAGCACATTAGTGTTATATCTTCTTCTCCTTCTTCAAGTTCACTGGTTGTAAACTCTGGCAAAGAATTCTGGATGTTCATCCCAATTTAGTCTGGTTCCAGAACCGGAGTGTTGGATGCACATCTGGTTCACACATCTGACTTCTGACTTACTTCATAGGATGCCCACAATTGTGTCAATTCTTACAACATGGTTGTTACGAAGGCAGTGGGTCTATCCCCCCCCCCCCTCCCCTCCCCATGGGTTCCCGGAACCGAGACGGGGACCATATTTTTTTTTTTTTCAGTTTGTTTTGAGTGATCATGTCTGGCACTGGCAGCACAGGGTAGGGATGATTATGCTTTATTTGTTTCTTTTTCTTTGCGCTGATCTGGACTCTCACATGAAAATTAACTAATTCAACAAGACAGTAGATACAGCTGATTCCAATAAAAATGGTAGCTTTCCTAGACTGAATTCTACAATTACCTTCTTCTCCCCTCCACCTGCCTTATGCTGAGCATTGTCTAAAGATCCAACTTTAGATTCAACCTTCCAATCTAGCGTCTTGGTCTCAATCTATAAAAAGCACTACATGTTACTGCACGAAACAAAACCGAAATCAGTTTAAAACAAATTAGTAAATCCTGTTAACAATGGCATTAAGGGATTTAAAAAAAACTATTAAGCAAAGTAAAAAAAAATAATCACTAATAAAATAAATAATTAAATCAATCATTAAATGAAATTAATTCCAGATGAAAGAATTAGAAATTCCCGTGTGGGTTGCAGGGCCCCATTTTGGGGGAAATAGAAGAACAGATCCACTGCCTCAAACAAATGTGTTGTAAAAGTTGATTAGTTAGGGGTGTTTCCTTCAAGTACACCTGCTTGACAGAAGAGGAATTAACAATCTGCATACAAAAAGCCAGGTATGTCAAACAGACGTGCATGCACAATTCAAGTCTTGGAACAAGACCAAAGTCTAGAAGTGGATGAACACTCAGAACTTTCCGCCGGTGAACACCAAGAACACAGAGGAAAGAAAGAAAGAAAGAAACTAATGAAAGAAATAGTGATGGCAAAACAGACACAGTGCAGATCTAATAAGCAGAACTCACCTAGGCCCCAAGAAATAGTTCCTCTTATCAGAAAGTCCTCTATCCAGATAAGAGTTAAACAAGAAAATTTGCCAGGTGTGAACAAATTGGTTTCACAACAGAAATTAACCACATCAGAGATCGCCCTAAGCCGTCTGCACTGCATAAGATGAAAGAACAAGATCTGATATAACAAAGAGATCACTAATGAATGAAACAGATAAAAAAGAGATCAACAATTAATGAAATTGAGATAACAATGAGATCAATGAATGAAATTGAGATAACAATAAGATCACCAATGAATGAAATTGAGATAACAATGAGATTACCAATGAATGAAATTGAGATAACAATGAGATTATCAATGAATGAAACTGAGATAACAATGAGATTACCAATGAATGAAATTGAGATAACAATGACATCACCAGTGAATGAAATTGAGATAACAATGAGATCACCAATGAATGGAAATGAGATAACAATGAGATTACAAATGAAACTGAGATAACAATGAGATTACAAATGAATGAAATTGAGATAACAATGAGATTAGCAATGAATGAAATTGAGATAACAATGAGATTACCAATGAATGAAACTGAGATAACAATGAGATTACCAATGAATGAAATTGAGATAACAATGAGATTACCAATGAATGAAACTGAGATAACAATGAGATTACCAATGAATGAAATTGAGATAACAATGAGATCACCAATTAATGAAATTGATTTAACAATGAGATTACCAATGAATGAAATTGAGATAACAATGAGATCACCAATTAATGAAATTGATATAACAATGAGATCACCAATGAATGAAATTGAGATAACAATGAGATTACAAATGAAACTGAGATAACAATGAGATTACCAATGAATGAAATTGAGATAACAATGAGACTACCAATGAATGAAAGTGAGATAACAATGAGATTAGCAATGAATGAAACTGAGATAACAATGAGATTACCAATGAATGAAACTGAGATAACAATGAGATTACCAATAAATGAAATTGAGATAACAATGAGATTACCAATGAATGAAACTGAGATAACAATGAGATCACCAATTAATGAAATTGATTTAACAATGAGATTACCAATGAATGAAATTGATTTAACAATGAGATCACCAATTAATGAAATTGATATAACAATGAGATCACTAATGAATGAAATTGAGATAACAATGAGATCACCAATGAATGAAATTGAGATAACAATGAGATTACCAATGAATGAAACTGAGATAACAATGAGATTACCAATGAATGAAATTGAGATAACAATGAGATCACCAATGAATAAAACAGATCACTAATTAAAAAAAGAGATCTCCAGGGAAACAAAAGCTTCACTGTGACTCCAACTTTGACCTCTGCCATCAATTATTATCACCAACTCCTCCTACTACAATAACTAACACAACTGATGCAGATTCTAAATCTCCAAAGCACCAGGAAATATCCTGGGAAATAAAGGTGGCGGGCCCTATGTTGTTCCCATGACCCACTGACTGCCGATTAGTCTATACAAATTTAGGCCTAGCACCATATACCCAACTGATCAATGGCAGCACCAATGACTACAACAACTACTACTACTACCATGTTTCCCTGACAATTCAATTTAATGCGATAATAAGCCTCAGTATGATTTTTCAGGACGCTCACAATATAAGCCCTCACTCAAATATATAGTAGCCCCAGTGTTGATAGTCAGAAGACGCATGGATTAAATTTGTCTACTGAATCAAACCATGGATGAACTGAATTATTATTTCTATAGACCAGTTGACACTTGGTGGGTGATCTGGTCAGCCGGCCGCCTTTACTTCCCAGGACAGCACCTGGTACCCACTCAAAGCTGGGTCCACCTGGGAGTCAAGGTCTTTTTTTTTTTTTAAATACAAAAGTCTGGCTCCATCAGGTCACGAACCCATGACTTTCTGATCCACAGGTGGGCGTCTAGCCGCCAATGCTACGGCAACTTCCTTACTGAAATCAGTGCTATAAATAAATTACAATATAAATTATAATTAAGGAACGGCTGCTACTGCTACTACTACAACTACTTCTACTACTACTACTGTTGTGGTTACCTTCTTGTCCCCACCAGCTGCCACATGCTGTGCATTCTCTAAAGAACCAATTTTAGATTCAACTTTCCAGTCAAGTTTCTTGCTTTCAATCTATTTCAAAAGTAAGTCAGCCAGTAAACAAACAACCCATTCTACTGACAAGCACAAGGTCGACATAAACTAATGTAAAACATGAATTATCACAGAAACAAATGCAATTAAAACAACAAGGTTCTGGAAAAACTAGAAATTAAAAGAATTTTGTTTAAAACAAAAAATTAAAAAACAAAATAACACTTTTATAAAAACCAGACTAAAGGAAAGTTAGAGGTAGGCAAGCAAGCAGTGGACAGTGATACAAGTGGGAAGATACCAGCAAGAGATGGACAACACAAAAAACACGGGCCGGAAGAAACTTGCATGACAGCATCATACCATAAAAACATTAAAATAAAGCGTAGTGATGGTGTATCACTGATTAAATCTGAAATAAAATGTGAAAATGGTTTGATTTGTATGTGAAAAAAATTGCAGATCTTTCAGCATCAAGAATGTCAACCCGCCAGAAAGATATCTGCATTAGTATACAATCCAATTTGTAAAATTACAAATGCAGCAATAACCTTTTCACTCTTCATCATAATTTATGTTTAAAAATGACATACTTATGGCCAATACCTGTGCAAATTAAAAAACTTTGACTAGGTTAATTTATCAAGGATTAGTTTAAATTCAGCTTCAATAACAAGAAATCTGGCACTGTGAAGAGTTTCTGGTTACAGTGATGAATATTCTGGTCCTGACAATGACTGCTTGTGGTTAATGAGAGGGGAGGAACTAACAGACTGCACACACATAAGACAGATCTGTAAAACGAATGTACAAGCAAAACTCTAGTTCTGGAACAAGACCAAAGTCCAGAAGTGGATGAACAACCAGAACTTTCCGCCAGAGTTTACAGCTGGTGAACACAAGGAAGAAAAGGTAATTAATGTATCCCTATGGAATCAAGCCATGAAAATTAGTTCAATCAGACTGTTGTAAATGTAAGCTGAAAGAGTTTTGTCATTTAAACTTTCAATAATTATAAGTTGAACCAGCATTGCCAGATGATCAGTAACAATGTGAACCAAAAGTGTGTTGTAAAATAATGAATACCAAGTGTAGTTTGTGTAAGATCTTAAATAAAAATATGAAAACTTATAATATCAAATATCCATGGCATCTGAAATTTGCTTGAAACATATAGTTAGAAAGAGTATACAGAAAATTGCATATTATTAAATTCCTATTTTCCACATAATTTAGCTAAATACCCCTTTCAAGTTTGGTATCAGATTATGTTTGGGTTTAACCAAAAAAAATCATTGTGAGTGATTCTTCCTGGGATAGTTTCATGAATAAGGAATGTCATAACATCTGCTGGCATCATTCAAATGTCATGCAAAGGACAAGCTAAGCCATACAAGCCATATCCAAAACTCAGTATGCCATGCAAAATATGGTCGCTAGCTGCAAGTGTAAATTTAACCCGCAGGGATGAGACATGAGCACAATGACAGCACTGCGCAGGGATGAGACATGAGCACAATGACGGCACTGCGCAGGGATGAGACATGAGCACAATGACGGCACTGCGCAGGGATGAGACATGAGCACAATGACGGCACTGCGCATTGATGAGACATGAGCACAATGATGGCACTGCGCAGGGATGAGACATGAGCACAATGACGGCACTGCGCAGGGATGAGACATGAGCACAATGACGGCACTGCGCAGGGATGAGACATGAGCACAATGACGGCACTGCGCAGGGATGAGACATGAGCACAATGACGGCACTGCGCAGGGATGAGACATGAGCACAATGACGGCACTGCGCAGGGATGAGACATGAGCACAATGACGGCACTGCGCAGGGATGAGACATGAGCACAATGACGGCACTGCGCAGGGATGAGACATGAGCACAATGACGGCACTGCGCAGGGATGAGACATGAGCACAATGACGGCACTGCGCAGGGATGAGACATGAGCACAATGACGGCACTGCGCAGGGATGAGACATGAGCACAATGACGGCACTGCGCAGGGATGAGACATGAGCACAATGACGGCACTGCGCAGGGATGAGACATGAGCACAATGACGGCACTGCGCAGGGATGAGACATGAGCACAATGAAATTGACACTAATCTGAACAGCAGTGAAGCCAGTTTCAGGCATAGATCTGTAGGGAAGGAAGGCATCAAAACACCAGCAGCAAAAGATATATTTGGTTACATGTGTAAAAATGTACTGCACACCACAGCAACAACAACAACAACAAAATCCCTTATCATAATGTAAACACTAAAGCTTCGCAGCAGTATACTTTTATTTAACATCATTATTTTCGTACTGCAGTATTCTATCATGCAGATTGTCTGATTACTCCCTCCTGGAAACCGTTAGTGCATGCATGTAATTCCAGGTGTAGATAGAGAACATTTAATTAAAGAGTTAATTTAAGATAAACAACTGTTGCTGGTAATCTTGTCTGTTTATAAAACGGGTAAGACAAGATCAAATGAACTAAGCAGTTCTTTGCTAATTGGGAACAATTGGTTTCATCAGCACTGTCAGAAATATATAAGGATTCAATGAAGTCATTGTTTTTAAGTAATTTATTTCTTTTTACTTTAATAAGTATGGCTGATGCTAACGATTAAGAGAGAAGTGCAGAAAAATTGCCAAAAGTAGTTAACATAATTATTCCAAAATAAGCATATTAAATTTGGTTCAGGGAATAAACATTAATAAGTAACTGGCGATGACTGCTTTTATTTTACCACTTTTGTGCTGAAGGCAGGGAGGTCTTCGCGCCTGAGGATTTCTGACCGCCTGGCTAGTGCTGCCACCACCGACTGTGCAGGTAAGGACTATTTTGCCCCCGACAAAAAAAAATCCCCAGCCTTACCGAGGATTCGAACCTGGGTCTCCTGCTTAAGAGCCCAGCATTCTAACCGCTCTGGCCAGCCGCTCCTCATTAACAGTAACAATAATTACCAGATCAAAATTGTGAGCAAACAGGATACTATTTTTTTTTTTAAATTAAATGATTTAAATAAAATGCTTTTCCCTAAATGAACAGAAGGCACATAAAGAAAACCTTCCGACTGGTTTTAACTTGTGTTTTAAATCCTACAATATTTAAACATTTCCACTTAAAAAAATTGTGAAGTTGTAGCCTTTACAGCAGACTGCTAACTAGGTCAAACTATAACTGGAAGAAAAAAAAATTTGAAAACTATTCCCTTCAGAATAAAATACAGCACAGAAAACACCAGGTAAGGTTTTAGTAAGAGGTCTCTCAGAACCACAACCTCAAGGCGAACAAACAAAAGAAAACAAAACAAGCAATTCTAGCCTTACCTTCTTATCTCCCCCTCCTGGCTTGTGGGTGGCGTTGTTTAATGAACCAACTTTGGATTTGGCTTCAACCTTGACTTTCTTGGTTTCAATCCTGATGTTGCCGCCACCTGAGGAAATTGGGGAGAAACATTTTTTTTTTGACCCTCTTAACTTTGATCATCTACCTTAGCTGGTTCTCAATCTGTGGGTCGCGACCCTTTTGGGGTCGAACGAGCCTTTCACAGGAGTGGCCTAGGACCATTAGAAAACATGTATTCACTGAAGTTATGAAGTAGCAACGAAAATAATTGTATGGTTGCGGGTCACCACAACATGAGAGGAACTGTACTGAAGGGTCGCAGCATTAGCAAGGGTGAGAACCACTGATCTACAACTTGTGCAGGTGTGCTGAATTCCTTCTTTTACCATCTTTAAGTATACTTACTATCTTCCCCCTACCACCCCTACAAACAAGTTTAGCAGATGTATTGCCATCTATCTATTATCTGACCCAGTCTTCCCTAACTGATTATCTTATTCTCTACCAGCACAGGATTGCAGCCTGCGCTTCCGGTCAATATGGCCGGTAGGCAGGATGACTGTTTTTGCTTCTCACAGCTGTTGCATTTTTCTCTATATGTAGACTGAAAAAATATAGTTCTGTCCACTAGCTAATGAGTTAAGTGCTTGTCATGACACTGTGAGCTGCAGATTTTGTTTGTAATACTTTACGACTGAGCTCAACATGGTTTGTGGTGTGAACTGCAAATTCAGAAAATGAAGAGTGGCCTGATACCAGAGGATGATGGTGCTTTAAGTGATTAACTGCATGTGCAACCATTGATACCAGAGGATGTTGGTGCTATAAATGATTAACTGCATGTGCAACAACTGATATGTTAAAACTGCTGCTTTCCCCGATGACGAGCTGGATTTCTAGTACTGGAATGTTTGTGGTTTAGAGCAGAGCAGCAAGCAATTATTGATGCAATTAAAGTGGTTGAGGAAAGAAAAATAATTTTAAAAACAGCAAAAGTGTTTTCCTCTGTGACTGCATGTCAGTCCTCCAGGTGACTCTGGAGGAGAGAACTGACCCGCCAGCTAAACAAACTCCCAGAAAACATTCAAACCATTCTCTAGTGGATCTTGGCTCACTGTGGCATACTAGGAAACGAGTTGGTGGACAGACTCACAAAAAAACTGAGCAAAGGAGAAACAACATGCCCATTCATTGTCATTACCACAATCAAAATACTCATTAAGAGAAAATACAAGAAACTGTGGAGAGAACAAACTAACAGTAAACATCAACAAGACCCCATCAGCAGACTCAACAGAAAGCAACATAAAATAATTTTCCGTCTACGAACAGGACACTGCAGGCTCAACTACCACATGCATAAAATAAAGATTGTACAGTCCCCACACCTGAGTACATTCGGTAGACCTGCCCTTTCTACTTGCAACTTCGAAAAGACACCTGGCCTCCAGGGCAAAGTGTACAGAGCAAGCTATAGAGAATCATGAAGGACCTGCAGTGACGTGCAGATTCATAGAGGCAACCCACCTGATAGTCTGATCTAAGCATACAAGACTAAATGCAAGGAAAAAAAGAAGAAAACTGAATGTTTGTGTTGCTTGCTTGCTTGTTGTATGTACCTAACCAGGACATAATACAAGCAATAAACACCCAGTGACACAAAGCGCCACCATGCAGATGTGGATCACCCGTGGAAAGGTCCCAGAATCCCTGTTTAGCCGTTTGGCCATATTTTGGCCGGCTATAATTAGGGCCCCACGACAAAAGCCAGGGTGGGGCTTCAAAATAGCTAAATATTGCATCCCACAAGAAGATGACGAGATACCATATGGGGAACCATGACTGACTGACTGACTTTCTACCCCACCAGGACATCACACAAGCGATAAACACCCGATGACACAAAGTGCCACCATGCGGATGAGGATCACCGTGGAGAGGTCCCAGAAACCGCGTTCAGACAATTGGCCATATGTATGGCCTGCCTATATTGCGGCCCCTGGCAAAAGCCAGAGTAGGGCTTCAAATGACAAAAAATTTCGTCCTAAAAAGGACGTAATTGGTTTAACTCATGGGGAACCACGAAGGATCGGCAGCTGATATGCAAATTCATAGTGACCACCCACCTGATAGACTGATCTCAGCACATTTAATTCTTGATTTATGCTATAGGCTAAGATGTCTCCAGATGCACTATTATCATTTGACATGGTAGTTTATTGCATACAAGACTAAATGCAAGGAAAAAAAGAAGAAAACTGAATGTTTGTGTTGCTTGCTTGCTTGTTGTATGTACCTAACCAGGACATAATACAAGCAATAAACACCCAGTGACACAAAGCGCCACCATGCAGATGTGGATCACCCGTGGAAAGGTCCCAGAATCCCTGTTTAGCCGTTTGGCCATATTTTGGCCGGCTATAATTAGGGCCCCACGACAAAAGCCAGGGTGGGGCTTCAAAATAGCTAAATATTGCATCCCACAAGAAGATGACGAGATACCATATGGGGAACCATGACTGACTGACTGACTTTCTACCCCACCAGGACATCACACAAGCGATAAACACCCGATGACACAAAGTGCCACCATCTGATCTCAGCACATTTAATTCTTGATTTATGCTATAGGCTAAGATGTCTCCAGATGCACTATTATCATTTGACATGGTAGTTTATTGCATACAAGACTAAATGCAAGGAAAAAAAGAAGAAAACTGAATGTTTGTGTTGCTTGCTTGCTTGTTGTATGTACCTAACCAGGACATAATACAAGCAATAAACACCCAGTGACACAAAGCGCCACCATGCAGATGTGGATCACCCGTGGAAAGGTCCCACCTGATAGACTGATCTCAGCACATTTAATTCTTGATTTATGCTATAGGCTAAGATGTCTCCAGATGCACTATTATCATTTGACATGGTAGTTTATTGCTCCCCCTACGACATGCAGGTTAATTGTCTCCCCTTTGACATGCTGGTCTATTATTTCCCCTTTGACAACAGAATTACTGTCTTTCCTTCTATATGCCAGTTTACTGTCTTTCCTTCTATATGCCAGTTTACTGTCTTTCCTTCTATATGCCAGTTTACTGTCTTTCCTTCTATATGCCAGTTTACTGTCTTTCCTTCTATATGCCAGTTTACTTGTCTCCTCTTTGACATGCAGAATTACTATCTCCCCTTTGACATGCAAAATTACTTCTCCCTTTGACATTCTGGTTTATTGTCTTCCTTTTGACATGCATATCTATTGCCTCCCCTCTTTAACATGCCAGTTTACTGTCTCCCCTTTGTCAAGCCAGTTTATTTTCTCCCCTTTGACATGCCAGTTAACTGTCTCCCCTTTGACATGCAGAATTACTGTCTTCCCTTAAACATACTATGCTGCATATAAACAAAACAAACACTTAAAAATTAAACTTCTATATATGGTTGCGCGCAGGGGAGAATCAACCTCCTCTTTACAACTGCTAATCCGCCAGGTACCTGCAACATGCCTCAAGGTTGTAATCATATTTATGTCTGTTCTTAGTCACAGCAACAAAATTACTGAAAAGTCTTACCTGGCTTGTGGTCAATTTTATCTTTTGATCCAACTTTGCTGGTCACATTGGAGAAATCTGGCTTCTTGCTGGCAATTTTCACCTGGGGGTAACAGTAAAATGAAGAATATGTTAAGACAGCAAGACTAAGTAGTCTAAATGTTTTCAAATACATCATTATGGTCTGAGGAGAATGGCACCAGAGGAATTTATCAGGTGATCTGGCCGACACTCAACACTCAAGAGAAAAGTGAGAAGGATATACAATTAGACTGTTTCTGGTTCCATCAGAATGGGAACTCTTCGCTTGCTGCTGAAGATAGGACAGAGCGCTTATGGGAGTGACTCAAGTGCTGAATTTTGATTCTTAATTCAACATTTATTGTGTTCAAAAAGACTAAGAAAAAATACATTACAACCACTAATTATCATGTGTGTGTCAATTAGCCGAGGCTTTATGTATGGAAGGGGCAAAGCAAGAACAATGACCTGATCCGTGATTGTGCTGATTGGATGAAATGATGAAACACTGCAGCCTATGCTATGCTTTTCCACCGGGCACATGATGATGATGATGATGATGATGATGGTGAGAAATAAAGATAGAAAGAAGTGGAAAGGCATGGTGGGTAAATTTCCCGCAGCAAATCTCTGCTTAACATTCATTGGCTGTAAACTCCAGTGGAAAATTATTGTTGTTTGTCCACTTCAGGACTTTGCTCAGGTTTAAGAACTTGAATTCTACAAGCTCATCCATTTTCAGATGTGGCTTACTTGTATGCTGACATCTATCAGGCAAATGCTCTCCAACATCATGACGTTTAATGTGGCTAAAATACCTCAGATTCTGGGACAGCATGCTGTTTGTGAGTCCATTCTTCTGGATGTTCAGATCATAGAGGATGTCTATTTTCTTTCCTCAGTCTACAGTATATATAAATCCTATCTTGATATATGGAAGTGAATCATGGACAGCTGGTAAATTTGTGAAAACTTTTTTGGAAGCCTCGGAGATGTTTTTTTTTTTTTAAATTAGATGAATGATGAGAATTCTCTGGACAGATAAAAAAGAGTAATGAAAACATCCTGAAAGAAACAGAACAATGTAGAGAACTGATTGCCTACATCAGAAAGTGACAAACTACATTCTCTGGTAACCTGATCAGAAAGTGAAAACTGGAGCTCATCGTGACGGTAGGAAAGTTAGAAGGAAGGGGAGGCAGAGGGAGACAGAGAGAACAGATACTGAGCAGTCTGACATCATGGTATGGAAGATCATTTGTGTCAGAGTTGATTGAAAGTACATAAGACAGAAGGCTGTGACTACCAAAGCCACACGGCATGGACTTTATTTATGAACAAGAAGTATAGGGTATGCTAAGAACTTCTCTGTAGAAATACAGTTCAAAAGCCCTGATTTTATTCTTCAATGCTGAGTAACGGCCCGTGACACACATCCAAAAGTTACCATGGGAAAGATGTATGATCTCAAAATGTTTTACTTTAACTTGCTTGCAGGTGCTCTGCCACAGTTCTATGAATAAAAACAAATACTGGAGAGAAATGCTGAAGGCAGTTGGGCAAAAAGTAGAAGAGATACAAGTGGGAGAAAAGTACTGAGAAATGGTGCAACAACTGCCTGTCAATACTCAACCAGTGTGAGAACTAGCAATCCATAACGGCCAGCCTTCACTGTGAAGACCGAAGAAAGACTTTACATTCACCTTTTTAAAGTACAGTTGGCAGAATATGTTGGTTCAGTGTTAATAAACATTTTTACGCTCGCAGTCCCGCAAAAACATTTGAACTTGTGTCGAGGCCCACCTAACAGCTAACCAAACACAGAAACAAAAACAACTGTAGATAGATTTTTTTTAAGAATCTGATGTCATAAAACTGCCATTTTTAGTCAATACGACTTTCGAATCTCATCCTTGAAGTGTTAAGCCTACAGACTGCAATTCTAGAAGAAACAAACAAACTACTGACCCGACCTAGTTACATGATTAGGCAGAAACTTTTTGGTGGCCCATCTGGACTTTTCTGCAGCCCACCAGTTGAAGAACACTGTTGTAGTTTACAGCTAGGCTGTGATAAATATGCCTTTTGGCTCATGATGTGCATAATTCCTCGCCACCTTCTTTGCCATATCACTGATACCAGCAGCTGTCCAAACATGTCTTTTATTTCTTCACCTTTATTTTCATCGGCAGTAAACTCTAACAGATGTTCTGGTTGTTCATCCACTTCTGGACTGGTCTTGTACCAGAACTTGAGTGTTAGTTGCATATCCGTTTTACAGTTCTAACTTATTTGTATGCATATTCACCTATCATGAATTGATCCAACTGTAATGTTCATCGATTTCCTCAGAGAGGGAAAAAATGACGGGTTCAAAGACAAGACACAAAGGCTGCAGAGAAAAACTCACATGTCCGCCACCAGGTGTGTGGGTGGTGTTCTCCATAGAGCCAATCTTCGACCTGACCTCGGCTGACTTGGGTGTGGCTGGGGTTCGAGGAGTGGTAGTCGTTTTAGTTGGAGACCTTGCCGCTAAAAAAAGAAGGGGGAAAATATAATGTACACTAGTATGGTGCCGATATGGTACCCAAAACAACACACATATAGATTAAATTTGGTAAGTATCATGAAGAACTATAATGTACAGCTATATCTCCTCAAATTCCGACCAAATTCCATTCAAACTAACAGGTCATAAATCAAACTGGTCACAAGTCAAATTTATATTTTTTGAACACTATTTTCATTCAAATAGGTTATAAAATTTTTTATATAAAACATAAAAGTTTAACCTAGGTAGGTATAAATTTTGTAGACAAAGTGAAAAGTACACATTATGCACTCATATTGAATCAGTTCCGAGAACGTTTTGACCTATCAGTGTTGTTATCTGTTTTTATTTACTATCTGTACTTATTTTATTTTAGTCGTATGTGCAGATGGTTATAAGTCGAGCCGAAGGGAGGGAAAAAAAGAGAGTGTGTGTGTGTGTGTGTGTGTGTGTGCGTGCGTGTGCTTTTTCCAGACTATAGTGTTACACTGTGCTATAAGGATGTATGGTAGTCATCATCATCATCAGGTGCCTTGCCGACTGGCAGTTATCATCATCATGAGGTGCCTTGCAGACTGGCGTGGGAGATCATGCCTCTCCACAACCTGAGATCTCCTGCAGCATGTATCAGTTCGCCTACACACATTCTTCTGTAAAACCACATGGTAGTCATAGCCCATGCAAATGGCGAGTGGGACTTTACAATAAATATACTATAGTTAACCAACCTTATAAAAATTTGTACCAAAAACATAGGGGAAAAAAGTGGGGTGGTGGTGGGAAAGGTCAAATGTCAAGCCGATCGCATATTCTATGGCCCAGATAGGGTTATTTAACCTGCGGCCCGCGGAGGCCTAGTAACTGGCCCGCAGCTCATTGCCAATTGTATTGTAATAACCATCTGTCTATGTCAGGACTCAGTAGGGTCTCTGGCCCCTGACGATCCCCATTTTCATAATTTTGGCCCGGAGTGAACTGAGAAACAGCCCTAACCTAGAATATATAAAAGCTTTGACCTTGACCCAGTATCTGTGATGGAACTACCGTCCTCTTTTTTCTTGCTTCTCTAAAATATTCCACTTCTAGCAATGGAAACTGAACTGCCTCATAATTTACCTTCGTTTCATTATTTGCATTTGTATTCAGTGGCATATTTTTGCAGGCCATTTAACATCAAATCAACACATACAAATTTTTACAACTTCTTCTTTCTTCTTTACTCTTAAAAGGGTGTTTGATTTATTGTGCCCGATAAATGTCTGCCAGTGCCTCTCTGCCAAATGTCAAAGTCTAAACACCTGTCAGATCAAACGACTGTAAGAGTGTCACTCTGGTCGTAAGAGTGTCACTCTGGTCGTAAGAGTGTCACTCTGGTCGTAAGAGTGTCACTCTGGTCATAAGAGTGTCACTCTGGTCGTAAGAGTGTCACTCTGGTCGTAAGAGTGTCACTCTGGTCGTAAGAGTGTCACTCTGGTCGTAAGAGTGTCACTCTGGTCGTAAGAGTGTCACTCTGGTCGTAAGAGTGTCACTCTGGTCGTAAGAGTGTCACTCTGGTCGTAAGAGTGTCACTCTGGTCGTAAGAGTGTCACTCTGGTCGTAAGAGTGTCACTCTGGTCGTAAGAGTGTCACTCTGGTCGTAAGAGTGTCACTCTGGTCGTAAGAGTGTCACTCTGGTCGTAAGAGTGTCACTCTGGTCGTAAGAGTGTCACTCTGGTCGTAAGAGTGTCACTCTGGTCGTAAGAGTGTCACTCTGGTCGTAAGAGTGTCACTCTGGTCGTAAGAGTGTCACTCTGGTCGTAAGAGTGTCACTCTGGTCGTAAGAGTGTCACTCTGGTCGTAAGAGTGTCACTCTGGTCGTAAGAGTGTCACTCTGGTCGTAAGAGTGTCACTCTAGTCGTGAAAGTAGACAGTTAGTTTGCTACCGCAGTGACCTTATATAACACCAAATCTCACAATACCTGTTGTAAAGTCACTGCAGTGACAAATATAACACCAAATCTCACAATACCTGTTGTAAAGTCACCGCAGTGTCAAATATAACACCAAATCTCACAATACCTGTTGTAAAGTCACCGCAGTGTCAAATATAACACCAAATCTCACAATACCTGTTGTAAAGTCACCGCAGTGACAAATATAACACCAAATCTCACAATACCTGTTGTAAAGTCACCATATCGTCTAGTCCCTGTCAGAGACACCGATAAAGCATAGCAAGGAAAGATCGTGGCCTGGAGTCCTGACCCAGGTTGGCCCACCTTCTGAGATTGTATAGGAAGTAATGGGCAGGAAACAATCGTTGACGAGTGATCTTTCTACTGATGAACGGTGGACTCCTGGTGTGCAGGCTCCCCTGTGGAGGAGTTCTTATCTTATTGCTGTAGGTTACATCTGCACCTTTCGACCAAACACATCTGATTTCAGCAAGTCGTTTATTCCTCATCTTTTACAACACCCTTCTTAAGAGGCAGACAGGTCTGTTCTTTTTTTTTTTTTAAACCCCCAAAAATGGTGACTGGAACCCAAACGGGGAACTTCTAATTTCAATTAAGGCTTGGCTCAAGAACTTATGTCACAGACAGTGAACTAATATTTACACCAAAATGGCAACTGGCCCTCTTCCCGTCTGCATGCCTGTAATTTATTACTTTGTAGAGCAGGGAGAAATGGTTTGGACATTGTCAAGACCACCACCAGATAGTGCATCAGAGAAAGTCTGCCAGAAAGTGCATCAGAGAAAGTCTGCCAGAAAGTGCATCAGAGAAAGTCTGCCAGATAGTGCATCAGAGAAAGTCTGGTCACTTAAGATATAATGGAAACAAAATGGCAATTCACCCTCTTTCTGTCTAATTTGTGTGCCAGTAATTTATTACTGTGTAGAACAGGGATGAAATGGTTTGGACACGTGTCAAGATGACAACCAGACAGTGCACCACAGAAAGATCTGTCACTTGGACAAAATGGAAGCACGAGGTCAACCATGCAAGCGATGGATAGGTGGAATATCTAAGACCATAAATACCAGCATCTACGTAGCACACACCAAGGCTCTGGCCAAAAGCCACTTCAAAACCTGACAACGAAATGCCAGACAGAACAAGTGAAGAAGAATAAAAAGAAGTAGAGCAGGAAGCTCAAGCCAGAGGATTTAGGACCTCATGGCCGAGTGCAGTCCTCGAGAACTGTGCATGTTAGGACTGTTATTGTTGTCCCTAGCAGAAAAAAAAATGCCCATAGCTTAAATCAAGGATCTGAACCTGAGTTGTATGAGCCCAACTTTTTAATTTCTCCACCAACTGCTCCTCACTAACTAAAGCAACAGATGTAAAGGGAAGTAATATACACATACCAGCAGCAGGAGTTGTGCTCTTAGATCCAGTATCAACCTTTGGAGTGGCTTTCTTTTCAATTGGGGTCCTGGCACTTCCTGTCTTGGCATCAATGCCAGGTTTCTTCTGTAAAGGAGAAACAAGAGGCCATGAGGACCTGGCACAACAGCAGGTAGAAAACTATTACAAACTGACATAGAAGAAACTAGATTTTCTGCACTCATCAAATTTTAACTATCACTTTTGTATGTATGAAATCTCAAATAGAAATTTATTCCACACTAAAATACAGGGTGAAAACAATTTGAAACGTAAAATTTCTGGTTGCAAATGTTTGTACGCTGTGTATGGAACTTGTGCAGTCTACAGGAGCATAGCTGGTCACTGGATTGAGAGAGTTAAAGCTTCAGGAAGTGATGATGAACCTAGGGATGCTATTCATGCAGCGAAGAAATATCTTTGTGAACAGGAAAAATATTGACAAAGGCAAGAAGAGGTGCTCTTGTTTCGCACCACACAAGTTGTCAGAGATTATACAGAGAATTATGGTGTCTAAAGGGTACAATTGATTTCAAACAATTTGTAAGAGGGAAATGTGGCGGATTATTTTCTGAAAAACCCTTGTATCATATTGTTCATAAAGTGCCTTGCCGACTATAATGGGTGATCATGCTTCTCCACAATCTACAAATTACAACAGCATGTATCAGATCATGATTCTTATTTCCAACTTAACCAATCAATATCAACAGCCGGATTGTAAACGGACAAGACTGAAGATAGCTATAGCTAGAACAATATAAAGTTAAAGGCTGCGTTAAAGGTGTTTGGCCGCAACTGCGTGTGTGTGTGATAATATAAAGCTAACTGGCTCTACTTATTCATTCAGTCTGATATGTTTTCAGGATACTGGATAGATCGAAGCAACTAGTGAAGATATCCAGAGTGTAATGATGATGATAATCTGGACTGAACTGTACCTTCTTTTAAGAAAAGTGATAAAACTCTAGAACATTGTATACAATTGTTCATCCGAGGCATTTTTAAAACTGGGGAAAATGGCACCTAACAGTGTGTAAATAGTGCTGGCAACAATTCTGGCAACCCGCGGAAATTACCCAAGATATTATAATTATTTGGCAACCCAGGAAATTGTTAAGATGATTATTATGCGAAAAATTTTATACATGAACAATGGACTGTAAGTAGTCTATGCGAACAGTTGTTTAGTTTCACAGTGGCATCTTATGTGTACTCACTTTTGTGTGTAAAATGGACAGCGGGGGTGGAGAAAAGATTGACAGAGAAAAAAATGAAAGATGGGCTGACAGGCAGACAGACAGACATAAGAACGAATAGACAGACAGTAATAGGCAGAGGAGTGTGCAAGTAGAATATACTCATACCCAGCCCCAAAAATCAGTGAGAAACTAGAGAGAATACGGTTTGCGGTTCTCATCCTAATTAGGGTCCCTACCACTTATTATATATAAGGAGCCCCCCCCCCCCCCCACAAATACACAAAATGGCTTATTAAAGGGCAAATGAATATAGAATTCACATAAATCTATGTGGAGGACATAATGGCTTAATTTGTTCCCCCTAAATTTGTTTGGTTCAACCACTGTCTGACGACCCACAGAAAACCCCTCGCGACCCATAGTTTGGAAACTTATGGTTTAGACCAGTGATTCCCAAACTGTGCGCCGCGACGCCCCGGGGAGAAGCGACCTCTTTACAAGAGCGCCGCGAAATATTCGAAGATACACCAGTTTGTTTTTTGTGTGTGTCTATCTCTTACATACGAACAGTCATATTTTTATTTAGGGCGCCGTGGACAAATGTTAATTGAAAATAATGAGGGGGGAAAATGCGCCGCAAAAAAAAAAATTTTGGGAAACACTGGTTTACACAATATAACATTTTTCTTCTGCTCTAGTCATGACTGCCTTTCGCGTCAGATTTTGAGGAGGCATCGGGCAAGAAAGAGCTTTGGCATGTGCTACGTAGAAGCTGGTATTTACAGTCTCAGATACTCCATCTATCCATAGCGTGCATGGTCGACCTCTGGTTCTGCTTCCATTATGTCACAAGGTTCTTTGGGGTGCAATATCTGGTGGCAGTCTTGACACATGTCCAAACCATTTCATTTGTTATCTCTCAACTCTCTCAGTCCCAAGCATATATCCCTCACCTCACTGATTCCGACTTATCTCCCCCACCCAAGAGTTATAGTTGTTTAGATACACAGGGGTTTAAATAGCCTGCGTGAAGGGCCAAAGAGTTAAAGCAACACAGAGTTAACATGGATTATTATAACATCTACTTGATAAATAGGGAGCCGTCATGGTCTAGCGGCTAGACGCTCGCCTGCGGATCATAAGGTCGTGGGCTCGGTTCCTGACGGGGGTCACACTTAAAAAAAATTTTTTTTAATGACCTTGGTTCCCAGGTCGACCCAGCCTTGAGTGGGTACCAGATGCAGTCCTGGGAATTAAAGGTGGCCGGCCTGATACTGACCACACCACTCACCGTTTCTTTTATAAAATATTGGTCTAGCCCTACATGCCCAATAAGCCTTGAAGGCATGGAAGAGGGACCTTTACGTTTAGTTTACTTGGTGAATGAAGCCATTAGAAGAGGGATATAATGTCAGAAGTAACCAATAAACGCATGGTGAGTTGACCGGGACTAAACGAGTTAATGTCGTTAATACTGGTTCTGTCACAACCTCTTTCCTGATATCGTCACTCCTGACCTCTTCTCTTCTGGTTACATTTAGAATTAGTCGCAGACATTTCATTTCTGTTGTTCTGAGAACGGAGCGACCAGTAAGGGGAGGTAATGTTCCAGGTCGCAGACATTTCTGTTGTTCTGAGAACGGAGCGACCAGTAAGGGGAGGTAATGTTCCAGGTCGCAGACATTTCATTTCTGTTGTTCTGAGAACGGAGCGACCGGTAAGGGGAGGTAATGTTCCAGGTTGCAGACATTTCATTTCTGTTGTTCTGAGAACGGAGCGACCGGTAAGGGGAGGTAATGTTCCAGGTCGCAGACATTTCTGTTGTTCTGAGAACAGAGCGACTGGTAAGGGGAGGTAATGTTCCAGGTCGCAGACATTTCATTTCTGTTGTTCTGAGAACGGAGCGACCAGTAAGGGGAGGTAATGTTCCAGGTCGCAGACATTTCATTTCTGTTGTTCTGAGAACGGAGCGACCCAGGTCGCAGACATTCTGTTGTTTTCTGAGCGACCTGTAAGGGGAGGTAATGTTCCAGGTCGCAGACATTTCATTTCTGTTGTTCTGAGAACGGAGCGACCGGTAAGGGGAGGTAATGTTCCAGGTCGCAGACATTTCTGTTGTTCTGAGAACAGAGCGACTGGTAAGGGGAGGTAATGTTCCAGGTCGCAGACATTTCATTTCTGTTGTTCTGAGAACGGAGCGACCGGTAAGGGGAGGTAATGTTCCAGGTCGCAGACATTTCATTTCTGTTGTTCTGAGAACGGAGCGACCGGTAAGGGAAGGTAATGTTCCAGGTCGCAGACATTTCATTTCTGTTGTTCTGAGAATGGAGAGACCGGTAAGGGGAGGTAATGTTCCAGAAAAACAGAGCCAGGAACAACAAGCACGACAATAGACACACTCAGAGCGTTGTGACGCCCTGAGCTAAGTAAATACCTTAGGCCTCTACCGTTATTAAATTATGCTAGCTACCCTCAAACAACTTTAATATATACACTTTTTAAGTTTTATAAAGATAAATAATAAATAATGTGTTCCAAGATTACACAAAACGTATGTAGCCAGATCTGTAAAACAGACACGCACGCAAAACTGAAGTCCTGGAAGTAAGAAGACATATCCAGAAATGAACGAACAATCAGAACTGGAGTTTATAACTCGTGAAGAAGAAGAAGAAGAAGAAGAAAAAGAAGACGAAGACGCCAACATAAAACATTTTCGTTTTAGATTTTCCAAATTCACAATCACTGGTTTTGTCTTTAAAATATATGCTGTGTAAAATTAACTTTCTATACATATTATGCTAAGCACGGTGAATTTTTTTTATATCAAAATAGAGGTCCCGGGTTCAAGCCCCAGTGAAGGCTGGGATTTTTTCACGTGAATTTCTAGTAATATCCCCCTTGTCTAAATAAGATCAAACGCCCGTGTGTATTTGTTGCGCACGTAAAAATCTCTTGGCAGTTGAAAATCGAAAAGTGTATCCTAACGCGCTGCCCGGGCAAAATTTGGAGCTAAAAAATCTACCCAAAGTATTTCAGGATCCTCGCCGGTGCACAGAGTTCCTGCACTGTGCTGAGAAACTTCGGACTCAGGCTTGAGTTAGAAGAAGAACGGAGCACTTTTGTGTTACACCTGTGTGCCATCATGTTGATCCGTTGAATAGACATAAACATAAAAACTGGATTGAATTTTTTGGCCCGTGCAGGTTAAGAGGTTCTAATCTGCTGCTTATTTAGCGGATACCACAAATCCGACACTAAATCCGGCAATTCACAGTCTACATTTTGTAAATATTTGTTAATAATTTACCTCTGAACTCATTTCAAAAACCGACCCAATAAACTGTTCACAGAATCCAAACGGTGAACACAGAAACAAGTGGCCACAGAAATACTTCCCAACAAAAAAACGTTAGCTTCGTGTTACAGCCAGTTAGTCGAAAAGGGCGGTATCTTCAGAACTTTCCAGACTTCAAGACGAGCTATTTGTAGCCACCGACCTCCACTAGTGACCCTATCGAACACAACCCGATCGTATAAACGTCACCAAAAAATCCGGTAGAGTGGGAGAATAGAGAAGGGTTGGGACAAAGGCACCAAAATATCTCAAAAGATGGCCGGGAAAAATAGCTCGACCACCAATGCAAAAATCGGGTCGAAAACCCGGATACTCGATCACTGATAAAGAAAATAAATGACTTCGCCCCACCCATGTGTGGATCGATCCATTCGATCGGTTTCTGGCAGCAATCATTCTATTGTATTTTAGTCAAATGTATCGACAGAGAAATTCTGATTGAAAAAAAAAAAAGCCATAAACAAAAATGAGGGCGAGGGGAGGGGATTATAAAAGAAAGAAGGCAGACAACTCCGCTGACATTCCTGATCTGTTTTGCATAAACAAGATCTTGCAGATAACGGGAACAAATTGTTTAGCACTGCTGAAAATTTTTTTGCACTTAAACATCACGATTCTCAAACAGGCTTCGAACTTCACTCTCCCTCTCTCATGAATATATATATATATATATATATATATATATATAACCGGTGCTAATTATCCTTGCGTTCTTTTTAGGACGTAATTTTTTGTTTTTTGAAGCCCCACTCTGGCTTTTTCCAGGGGCCGCAATATAGGCAGGCCATAAATATGGCCAATTGTCTGAACGTGGGACCTCTCCACGGTGATCTTCATCAACATGGTGGCACTTTGTGTCATCGGGTGTTTATCGCTTGTGTGATGTCCTGGTGGGGTAGAAAGTCAGTCAGTCAGTCATATATATATATATATATATATATATATATATATATATATATATATATATATATATATATATATATATATATATATATATATATATATATATATACGTTTGTGTGTGTGTGTCTCACTACATATCGCAAAGGGCTGGCATCTATCCCAGAATTTCGTTCCATGTGAAAAATTTGTGTAAAGACAGAAAACGGAAAACACGAGAGAATATTCTTGACAACCTTCTGCATATAGACAAATACAAACCCCCCCCCCACCCCCACATACACGTACGTACGTATATGTGAGGGGTGGGGTGTATTTGTCTATTAGTATGTACGTACTTACATATATATATATATATACACACACACACACACACAAACAGAAGAAGAATATAGTCGAACAAATGTTACAGACTTGAAATGCCGGCAATCTTCGCAAAGCAAAATGCATACTTGTCGCTTTGCGAGTTTGATCGCTAACTGCCTAAATATCTCAACTACGTCTTCGTATGACTATCCATCCCGAAGTGTAACTATCGATCCCCTTTCCCCACAATAAACGCACCTTGATACAATAACCAGAGCACCAGTAACGTGAGACGGGACGAGAGAGACACAGGGGACATGCTTACGGGTATAAAGCGGTAATAATTCTGCTGCGGGCTACAGTAATCGATACACAGGTTGGCGACTGTAAACGAAGCAACAACACTTTTACCGTAGGGAATGCGGTATAAGCTAGGGGAGAAACGAAAGGGGGGCGGGGGGGGGGCGTAGGGGGTTTCATAAAACAAGTACAAACATGCTGGGTCTTGCCTGCCCCCTGCCCTCCACTAGCAAATATTGTGTGCGTGTGTGTGAGAGAGTGAGAGAGAGAGAGAGAGAGAGAGAGAGAGAGAGAGAGAGAGAGAGAGAGAGACAGAGAGAGACAGACACAGACAGACAGAGAGAAGGGACAGGGATCAGCCTAGTGAGCCGACCTAAACATTTATAAAAGTTCTCTTCTTTAAGTACCGTATTTGTTGCTTGTTCATATTATTTCAAATATATTATTATATTTATTTGTCACTGAGCACAATTAATACCATTTATTATTATCACTATAAACAAGGTATGCAAACTTGAGGGACTCACCCTCAGAAACTTTTAAGGGTACAGGGGAACTCCACAGCCTCATTTCTTTCTTTTGTGTCGGCGCCTCTATAAAGTGTACTGTGTATGTGTATCGTGTTAAAACTTTGTAATGAGAAAAAATAAATAATAGTTTTCATCCTGCCATTTTTATCCTAGCCTATAACAAGACAGACAGACAGACCGACCGACCGACAGAGCAACACACACACACACACACTTTCTTCTTCTTACACATAATGTACACACTTCTTCTTCTGCTTACATATATATTGTATACATATGTAAACATGTCTTTTCTACTTACATATATAAGCTCGCATTTCTTCTTCTACTTACATATATATGTCCACATTTCTTCAACTTACATATATATGTACGCATTTCTTCTACAACTTACATATATATGTACACATTTCTTCTTCAACTTACATATTATTGTACACATTTTTTCTTCTACTTACATATATATGTACACATTTCTTCTACTTACATATATATGTTACACATTTCTTCTTCTATTTACATATATATGTACATAATTTTCTTCTCTTAAATATATATATATGTACACATTTCTTCTTCTTAATATATATATATATGTACACATTTCTTCTTCTACTCTCATATATATGTATACAATTCTGCTTCCATTTACATATATATGTAAGCATTTCTTCATTATATCATAAGATTGCACTATTTTAACTAATAAACATCAGAGTCTGAAGCAGATAAAATAATATCATGAGAGGGAAAAAAGATATAAAGCAGTATTTGAGGCAGAGTAACTTAACGTAATTACTATCTCGGAGACTGACGGCTAAGTATAATATATATCGCAAGAGAGCTAGCTCAACAAACGCGTGGTGAGTTACTTGGGTCTGAATGAGTTGAAAACACATTCTTAGCTGCTTGGGACTGAATGAGTTAAAACCAACTCTTGTAGACTTCAGACAGCAGTACGACAATCGCACTGTAGAAAAGACTGGGCTCTCACTGTGTTATATAACAGCGGGAGGGTGGATGTCATGGACCGACAGTTCATGTGTCAGTGCGTGCGGTCCATGACACTACTTAATATTCCCAAAAACGATCGCGGTCCTCTGTAGGAACGTTTGTTGTGGAGACAGCATACTATTTAATAATCAATCACTTAATCAGGTGCCGTCTTCACAGTGAAGATTGGCTGCAATGGATCTCCAACACGTCCTGACTGTACACTCTCTCAGACTGCTGCCCGTCCATCTCCTGATATCCTTCTCCCATCTGAATCGTTGCCCACCTCTTGCTCTCCTGTCTTTAACATTTCACTTCAGTAGGATTTTCAAAAGCGTATTATGTCTTTTAATGTGGCCAAAGTTATTTCAACTCTCTCTCTCTCTCTCTTTCTCTCTCTCTCTCTCTCTCTCTCTCTCTCTCTCTCTCTCTCTCTCTCTCTCTCTCTCTCTCTCTCTCTCTCTCTTATGTCTTTCAACAATCCTCTGTAGCTCCTTTCAGAGCCTCTGCATTAGACTGTTCAATAATACGGCTTAACAAGTCTCATTACAAACAAAACTACTCACAACCCCACGGCTGAAGTCACACCACTACCTTTAATGTACAACGACAGGCACATCCTGTCACTCGGACAAACGCAAGTACACCTACTCGTTCAACAGGGGCACCAGAACACAGGAGCTCGGTCAGGGGTCTTGGCCAACATCAAAGCGCGCGCGCACATATACACACAACTTATCTTTTTACGGAGAGGGAAGCCACACCCCGACATACTGCAAATTAGTGCCTTTATTATTATGCCACTTTTGTGGTGTAGGCAGGGGGATCTTTGAGCCTGAGAATTTACGACCGCATGGTTAGTGCGGTCGCCACGACTGTGCAGGTGAGGATTTTATTTTGCCCCTAACAGACAAAAATTCCCAGCCTTACCGAGGATTCGAACCCAAGTCTTCCGCTTGACAGCCAGCCGCTCCTCCCCCAACATACACCGAAATTTAAATCTGCAAGGGGGTTTAATTACGCCGCCTCCCTAACCATATGTACACTTTTGTATATTTGTTTCGTATTATTTCAAATATCATCATCATGTAGCAGGTCCTTTGCAGAACGTCGCTCTCATCATAGTCTGCCTGTAAGAAACTCGGTCTCTTGCCAGTTCTCCCGCCTCATGAACTTTCACACTCAAGGAGTCACTTATATCCTGTGCCCATCTTCGTGTCGGTCGGCCCCTCCCTCCTGGTACCGGTACCATGCCTTCTGCTATAATTTTTCCAATCCGTCGTGGCGCTTGATATGACCAAATCATATTCCAAATATACTGTTTTTTGTTTGCCATTCAGCACACTATTATTATAGGCACCAAAATAAGAAAGAAGCCCCTTTAAGCCCCTTTTGTGTCCTAGAAAGTTATGTTAAGTGCGCTCCAACACTTCCCATCCCGATTTCTGTGTGAAGGCGTTCTTTCTGTAGAGATAAGACGCCCCAAGCGGTGTTTATAACTGGTACATGAACCACGGGTAAGAAGAAGTCGTGATATGTGACACTTGTAGTGATTCAGCTTTAGGACTTTGATTTCTCACCATCTGCAGCTTCTGATTCAGCTAATGCAGCGGGTCTCAGCCTGTGGGCCGTGACCCCTTTGTGGATCAAACGATCCTTTCACAGGGGGTCGCTTAAGACCATCGAAAAACACATATTCACCGCAGTTATGAAAAATAGTGGGACAGTACAATATTTTCGATGGTGGTAAGAACGAGTTTCCTGGCTTTCTGATGCTTTAAACGACCCCAAAACATCTAGAACTGGGCCTAACCTCAGCTCACCTACGTCCTACAAGAGAGTACACCCTAGGCCCCACGACTGCATGCATCCTAGGCCCCACGACTGCATGCAGCCTACCTACCACCCCCTAACATATTCTACTGTCTGTTTGTG